AATGCAGTTCTTTTTTTGCCTACACAGTCGGCAGCTCTGTGTTGTGCTATAATTATTTCGGAGTGTACGTAGGTGACAGGAGTGGAATGGAGGCAGTAGAGCAGGAGCAAATTTGCCGCCAAGCATTGCATAAAAGCCTCGCTCTCAAACAACACCTCCTAATGCCCACTGAAAGCGTCGCTCACCTGCTGCTGGCGCCACGAGGCCAGCACATGCGATAGCGTCATAAAGAACGCCGAGCTTGAAGGACATTGCACGGCTTAGAGATTGGCAAATTGCCCCTTTACTGGCATGGGGCAGCAATCATTGGGCCACTGACAGAGCAACGTCGCCTTTTATAACTCGTAAAGCTGGTGTGGGGAGGGTGAATGGGGTCCGCGCATCTCGACGCACCCGCTCGCACCGTCGCTAATTGACATGCTCTATCAATGAGGCTCGAATTGATGATGGGAGGACCAAGAGGACGATCTCACGTGCCTACTGACAGTCAAGTGTTGGGATGTTAATACTGGTGGGTGGAGGTGATCCGCATCGTTGCCTGAATGTGGGTTTGAGGGGTTGAAGTGTCAGCCAGTCAGCATTGGACTTGCGAGCAGACAGAAAAGTGAATGAGGGGATTGGAGTGAAGGCAACCACCTAGAAGATGCTTTATTTTGTACCGTGTGGTGGAGGTTCAACAAGTGGGTGGAGAGTGTTTGAGCAGAGCTGAATGTCATTCTCTAAAAATAGACATCTATCTGGCGAGGTGGTGATTGATGATGGGGGTGGTGAGTTGGGGGGTAGAAATGCTTGCTTTGTGTCCGATTTGTGGAACACTACTTTTTGCACATTAGTGAGGAGTTTGGGCAAGGCGAACCGGAGGTTGAGAGTGGGTGGGGAGGGAGTGGACGATGGGCGTAGAGAGAGGGGACGAGGGCGAGGATGAGAGGGAGGAGTGCGCACCACTATGAGTGCTAGCGATTTTCCACTTCGATAAACCTCTGCGTAGGGGGTGAGCAGGCTGTTTGCTCCTTCTGGAAGGAGGAGAGCTCCCAAAAACCAACGATAATGGTTAATGCTGAAACGCCATTATGGGCGCACTCCCTTGTGTGCAGTATCTCTTCCTCCACCTCCATCTCCATCGCCACCACCACCATCGGCACAAGCATAAGCACAGGACCAAGCACTGTCTCCGCCTCCTTTATCACTATAACGAGAGTCAGCCAACATGGGTGACATGCATGTCGGTGAAGCAGAAATTCAACACATTTGGATACATACGATAAACACAATGGAGATGGTGAAAGTCATACGCCAGACTTCTTACCTATCGTCGCTCTTCTCGCTATCATCCAATCGTCCCTCATGGCAGTAGGTGATGTTGACCTTATGAACTCCCATTGCCTTCCATTCAACTTCCAACTTCACATGCAACGAGGTTGCATGACAGTCCCATTTATTGTGTGGTCTCTTGTAACAGGCTTTCACAGGTCTGTGCGCACCCTCCAGCTCAGCACTGTGACATTGCCTTGGTCACCGTAGCACAATGTCTCACATCCACACCAACTGCTGTCCAACTCCAACGCCTTCACTTACACACACGTGCAGATGTGACCGCATGCAATGAATCAGTTGTGTCAACCAAACGCTCGTTCTTTTGCCAGAATCACAGCCACAGAGCCACCACGAACGGTGCCAAGTCAAAAATATCATCGGCACAACAACTCTGTCCTCATATGTAGTGCTCTTCTTGTGATGTCATCTACCGGTTGTTTGCTTGCTGGACTCTCGACCTCGTCTATGGGTATGGGTAAGGGGGTTGGCTTCCGCGAAGGCTTGGCCACGTTGGATGACCTTCACGCCAGATCCACACTCCCAATTCTTTCGTCTCTTTCGAGTGCATACTTCGATTGTTTTCCCCTAGGCAGTCTCGCAGTACCGCATTAGCAACGCACGTGTCGGTTCAAGGTGACGCACGTGTGTTGAGGCTAGTGGCGATGATGGTGGTGTGCATGGCAGATGGGAGAGCACTGCCTCTCAAGTTCTGCTAAGCCAAGCCTGCATCATTTGGCAAAATAGAAGCCAGCAACCTCGTCTCGACCTGAAGACTACCTGTTTGTACGAGCGTTAAATTGAGAGTTTGTGTTTCTCGCGACCCACGAGTCTTGGACTCCAACCTCTGCTGCCACTGCTGGTGCTGGTAGTGCTGCTGGCTAGTGAAGTGGAGAGGAAGGATGTTTGCGAGTACGCGCAGAGGCATCATTTTTCACAGCCTCGAGGAGGCCACGTCAAAGTGGTGGAGTTGCGTGCGCTCGTTGCACTGAAACGCACATCTCTAGCCTCTCATTCATCCAGTCTGACAATTAATCACCCTCGAAGCACCAACTGACATGGCAATCATTCACCAGGCTGCACATGGCTGACAGCACTTCGTCAAGCCCTCTCCTCTACCCACTGCCATTCACTTCGCAGTCACTCCATAAGTCCTCTCATTATTTCCCTTCTCCCTGTTCCATTCATTTTGCAGCAGCCACCGCCTTCAGACTGAGCGCTTTGCAGTACGGCTCTGGCATCCACCACAACCACGACATCGCCCATGGGGCGCTGTGATGGCCTGCAACTCCCACAACCCCTTTGAGCTTGTACGTGTGTGCATGCGCCATTACTGTGGCCTCGATTGTGGCTAAAACGAGCACTTTCAATGCCAACGCACACACACACACACACACACACACACACAC